TCCTCTTTTGTTCTTACACTGGATTTATACGCTGTCCATTTTGTATTCGTCTCAGACAATATCCACTCTCTGATTAGTGTCCAGAAGAGACTGCAAGTACTTCAAGAACACATTATCAGCATACTAGTATTCATCAAATGCTATTGGAGCTGCTGGTTTTAGCATGTTTATTACTGCAGATCCATCAAGGATTGATACGTCAACATTTGGTGTTGAGTCAGTTGGTGGTGAAATTTTCTTCAAAGCAATTGAGAAGAACTGATTTTGCGCATAGACGTAGAGAACCTTGATGAGATATAGTTGGGTAGCAAGACTGATTTTTATGTCTGACAAACTCATCCAGGTTTCCATCCCTTGACTCGTCTGTGTATATCTTGTCTTCATGGAAGAAGTTCTACATCCGTATTGTTGACACAGACGTGGTTGTGTTGGCCATTGCTGCATCAAGCGTTCTCAGTGTTTCACAGCTTCACAGGCCATGACAGTATGTCATCCTTAGGTGGAATTGAAAAGAAGGCCTCGCGGAATACATGGAATACTTTTCCTGAACTTACAGGCACCTTTATTTCCCTCGCTTGTCCACCACTTGAAATCCTAATGCACAAAATTAATCAGCATGAGAGAGTTGTTGTACTGCTGTATGACAGTGCAAGCAACCTCATGAAAGTGAATGAGCAAGAAAACATTTGTTTGCCACAAAGGGGAGAACACTGGACAATATTCCCCCAACAGAATCATTCCCCCAACAGAATCAACTTTGATCCAACATACTAGTAACTATGGACAACTCTCACGAAGGCATGAAAGAGCTGCCGGGAATTGCTGAAATGCATGTGTATAAAATGTTCAAACCGGTCCAAGTGCGTTAAAGCATCTCTCAAGTGCTATGCACTTTTCTCATTCAGTCAAGCTAGATACAATTACACATTCCATAGAGTGATGAGATAGCTACTTTGACATTGATGTTGTCTTGATTTTGATATGTTTTTATAGGTGTTCTATAGCCAATCAAGCTCATACATTATAAATGTAAGTAAATCTAATGATATATTCCTTAAAATAAACTTTGGTCTGTTCTCACAATATTCTAGTTAGATAATTTATGAGGATTTAAAATTGAGTTAAAGGAACATTTTTTGGAAAAGTCAATTTTTTCCCCACTTTTCCCCCCCAAATATATAAAATTACAACAATCTGTGAGGCTTCTCGTATTGAATTTGCAAAGAAATGATAAAAATATTTTAGATCATGGGATGATCTCATACTTATTTTACTGATGTACTCTATATGGCGGCCATTTTGCAAACTGGTGTGCGAAAATTGGCGGCCATTTTGCAAAATGGCCACCAATTTTCGCATTTTCGGGTAGTCATGATATAAATTGACTTCCGTAGACCTAACCGTTAAAGATAAAAAGACATGTATAGATGGAAAATGACCAGCTATGGATTTACTACAATTTGATATATGTCTTATGAGAATTGGAGAATTTTGTAAAAGGTTATAACGAAAATAGTATAAAAAATTATATTTTTTCACTTTTTTCCCCACAATTATGGAAAATATAAAAAATCTGCGAGGCCTCTCGATCTTTATTCAGTTAGAATGGTATAAGCTACAATCATGCCAAGTTTCATGCTTGTAACACAAAGTGCACAATTTGATCACTTATCCGCTGGGCTATAACACAACAATCTCGTTGTAAATATAACAATCATAAACACATTGAATTAAGTCTTTATTTATTAGTCAGGTGATCAAAGCGGGTCCGGGTAACGTGACGGGTACCCGGGTCCAACTCATTACCTACCCGTCCCAGGTATCCGGGTTACCCGTCCCAGCACTAAAAGGTACTTATAATATCACCGAAGCACTTGCATATTGAATTGCTTGGTTTTTTTTATTCATTTCTTTTAATGAAGTAAACTTCTTTGATACAACTAAAATAAGGAGAAAAAATATTTGTGAAAGACAATCTAACTTAATTATAACCAGCTGTTTACCTTATAATTCCAAATGTATATTTCTAAATAGGCTTTAAGAATCATAAATGGAATTTATTTATTGAATTTGCAAATACAAGATTCTTTTTTGTTCCAAATAGGATGCTCAAAAATGACTTTAAAATATTTCTGAAACTGAACATTCGTGTAACCTTGCTGCCATACCCCTGGGAGAATATAAAACTGAATACGCTTGAAAAAATGTGAATGACCCCCCAAAAGTCAGACTAAAATATCTAAAGAGATATGAAATATAAGCCCAAAGTTGATTAGTTACATAGATATAATATTATTGTTTTGAAACTCAAAGCGATATAATTGTCCTTCCTAAACAGTGTTGGGAAGCGCACGTACAATCTCCAAAACAAGCCCGTATGATCGTCAGAAACATTCGTCACCACTTGCACCTTTCCGTAACCTCCTAAAAGATTCGGCTTGTCCCGGAATAACACGAGTTGGTCACAAATGGAGTTGATCACGAATGCGTCAGAAATACACTCAATTGGACCCATGAGAGCCGATATATAAACGCTATAAGCGCTAAGAGAGCTTCGAAAATCTAGGCCATGATGTTGATCACTGGATTGTATGATCCAGATTCAATTATTTAGTATTGACAGGAGACCACCATAGAGCTGGAATATTACTGAGTACGGCATTAAACAACAAATTAATAAACAACAATTTTACAAATCGTAATCATATTGTAGGCGTGTGTTTATGGGGCCTGAATAAAAAAAAAACAGGGTGGGGGGAGGTTAGGAACAAAGTTAAAATAAAATAAATAACGTACAAGTACCATAGGTGGTCGATGCATAAGACATGTCTCATTTTATATATATATTCCCTGTATAGATGGATGTAATGTACGATAAAAATATGTTATAGTACGCATGCACTTGTGGGGTTTTCCAGAGCAAGCGCATATTTCATAGGTCGTTATTTTGGTCTCAAAAGGGTGCACGTGTGAAGTTTCCCACAGTGAGTGAGTGAGACCCAAGGTAACTTCGTCTCCGCGTTATTTCAGTCATACAGCGGTGAGACCAGGTTTGTACATTTACCTAAGAGGTAAACAAATACTGTCATGTTTAAAAGCAAATCTGTCACATAATATTATTTACAACTGTTGAATGAGTGAGTGAGTTTAGTTTTACGCCTCTTTGAGCAATATTCCAGCAATATCACCCGAAATGTACCCATGTGGAGAATCGAACGTGACGAGCGAACGCTTTAACCACTAGGCTACCCCCACCGCTCCCCTTAAACAATAGAACCTTAAACGTGTCACCATGTTCCAACGATGTGGGTCTTCAATATTTGGACAGAAGGTTTAGAGGTTTAAATACTAGGTTAAAATAACATTGAATCACACATATGATGTACGGAGATTACCGATGTTTGCGCATTCAAATCGATGGAAGGGAGATAACTCTAAATTTCTTGTCGTCTTGTCGTCTTGTCCTCCATACTTATAACTATGATCCGATACCCGTGCTTCAACAGTTCAAAATTACCACTGAGGTGTTTGGTAAAATAAATACTTTGTTCACTGGTCCCTCGGGGCCCATGGGTTGATGTACCCTCGATGTTTCTTTATGTTCAAACAAACATACACAAACATCGAGGGTACATCAGCCCATGTCCTCCAAAGGGACCGATCCTTATTAATTCTAATTTTGGATCAAGGGAAAATACATTTTGAAAACGTACTCCGCGCTTATTGGAGACCCGGTGTGTATTAGAGACCCAACACTTACCGTATTTCCGCTGATAAGCGGTCGGGCGCTTATTTTCTAAACGGACATCCAGACCCAGCACATATTAGAGTGCAAGGCGCTTATTGGAGACCCGGCGTGTATTAGAGACCCAACACTTACCGTATTTCCGCTGATAAGCGGTCGGGCGCTTATTTTCTAAACGGACATCCAGACCCGGCACATATTAGAGTGCAAGGCTCTTATTGGAGACCCGGCGCTTATTGCGTTTACTGGGTGTACAGTAATTACTTGTTAGTGAACGTTACGTCAAAGCTAGGAACCATTCCTTAAGAAATCCATTTTTGGATCAAGGGAGAATACATTTATTTAAAAAACGTATTAGAGGAAATACAGTATTTCTTAAACCGCCAGCTGATTTATCCAAACCGCCAGCTTATTTATCCCCCTCGCTTATTTGTTCCGGCGTTTAGTGGAGGAAATATGGTATTTCAACGATTTTATCGCAGCTATGGACCATGGTTTCATCTTCACCAAAATGTGCTCACATGGCTACTTGTACCTAAAACTTGGGAGGAAGTGAGTTGAGCTTTACGTCGCCTTAGCAATAATCCAGCAATATCACAACGGGAGACACCAGGAACATGCTTTACATATTGTACCCATGTAGGGAATCGAACTGGGTCCTCAGCGAACGCTTTAACCACTAGGCTGCCCCATAGCCCCTCCTAAAACATGGGCTGGATTGGAGAAATTCAGCCAAATCGTATTTTTTCAGTCATGCAGGATAAATTTCTTCACATTATGCCAAACTGAAAAACTTAAAGGGTCACATATGTTTAACGTTTTACAGATGCCAAAGAAGAAAATCTTCACAAATCTTAGCTTTCATAAACTCCCTCAGTATCAAACCCTTTTGTTATGTTCCCATAATTTATCATAAAACTCTGTTAATTGGTGAAACAGTTATAAAATTATAACACCCTTAATCTGAACAAAATGAATGAACCGAAAATCTTTGATTGTCTTCGGTGTCAAAAATGTTGTTAAAACAACCACCCTTATGCCGAATCAGAAAACCTTCAGCTAGAGGGATTTCTTCAGCAAGATTCAATGGCAGGCAATACCAAGTACAAGGAGACAGAGGCTTGTCCGTTCTATGCCAAGATGTCAGGGCTGATGTGAACAGAGGAAGTCATGTCTCGTCCACAACCAGATCGTGTCTTAAGTCTGTAACCTTTGTTACAACAGGACAATGAACAATAGATCGCTCTCCTGTGTGAACCTGTGTCTATTCCGCCTTAAAAATTAAATTATCAATTTTATTAATTTTGGTTTTGTTTTTGACACCGATGCCATGTTTGAGTGTTCCTTAACTAATTTTAGGCGTATAACACAAACACTGTAGCTGAAGACTTTTCATGCCCTAATGACTTTCATGACAGTTAGGCGTATAACACAAACACTGTAGCTGAAGACTTTTCATGCCCTAATGACTTTCATGACAGTTAGGCGTATAACACAAACACTGTAGCTGAAGACTTTTCATGCCCTAATGACTTTCATGACAGTTAGGCGTATAACACAAACACTGTAGCTGAAGACTTGTCATGCCCTAATGACTTTCATGACAAGCTAGTTCTACCAAGCTTCATTGTATGTTTATTAAAGATGCGCTCAGAAATATTCCATTTGTACTATAGCGTTCTCAACCACACACGAGACTGCCAGACTTCATTTTCATAGACGTCCATCCAATATGTTCATCGGCAGAGGGAAAATGATGGTCGAATTCTTTTCAGCTGCGACACTGCTCAGAGACTGCAAGTAACGCAACTGCAGAGCAGCTGGAGATTTCGCGATGATATCTGCAGCCTCCTTCAGGGCTCGGGATGCATTGTGTTCTCCTTCAGCAGCAATAATCTGCAACAAGAGGTCAAGAGGTCAAAAGGACATACAAAGGTCAAGGTCAGAGTTGGTCCTATGTAACCTGAATGTACCATGTGACATAAGGTCATAGAATTGTCAACCTATGTAAATCAATATAAGCTTTTGTCTCAGTTGTATCGTTGTTGTTGATTAGCAGCACACTCAGCCATACTCCAGCTATATGAACTGCACATGATCGAGTCTGGGTCAGCCAAACCAGAGATTGATGTCATGAGCAACAGCCCGCGAATAATGACACCTACTCAACCAAGTCACCTAGTCTGACCAGCACATCCAGTAGTCATCACAGGCCTAGACTGTTTGGTACACTGGTGATCTGTACCAGACCGGTGTTCTATCTCTCACTGCGCATAGAGCTTTCACAGTGTTTCAATCTATATTGGAGGACCATAGGAACAACGACCCTATATTCATATCCAGCTTCATAACGACCATGAAACCGAGCGGTGGGACGTCCCCGTAAAAATCTCGAGTTCATCCACAACTTGAGTGGAACAATCATGGAAGAGTGACGTACCTTGGCCCGAGCCTCTCGTGTTGCTTCAGCCTCAGCAGCCATGGCTCTCTGAAGCTGACAAGGCAGTCTCACATCCTTGCTGTAATGATGATGATGAGACTTGGGTCGAGGGGAGACACTTTTAAAACATTCTACCGTCTCGGTATTACAGTGTACTATCAACACATGTATTTATGGAGCTGTAGCTATAGAAAAGGTGCTTTTTGTATTTCTCCAACAATATGTTTCAGGGATCACTTTGGGACAAAAAACATCTTTCCATAATGATTCTTTTCAATTTCATTCCAATCACAATCCCCTGGTTTTAGGAAAATTCAAAATTTCAGCACGAGAAAATGACCAAAATCAGTAATTGCCTGAAACAGATTCCATTTGGTGCAAAAGGCATTCGTAAGTACTCGTGTCATTCCGGCAATGGTACAAATGGTACAAACGGCAGAATAATGACGAAAAGTATATCAATGGATCGCTGAAAATCAGTCATGAAACCAGGTCGTGAATGAAAGAAAATTTGAAAACAAACGGGTTCTACTCACACTTCCACCCTCTCCACCTGGACTCCCCACAGAGCAGTCGCTTCCGCTAGTAAACTCTAGACGACAAAATGTTCAATGAAAACACTGACAAGTCATCACAAACAGAAATGTTTGTTGTAATATTTAATTGATACTTACTTCCGAGGATGAAAAACTGAATTCAACATTATCTGTACTGTGATACAATGTGTTATAGCGTGTAAACTAATGACGGAGAGGAATAGATTTAACTATTATCAGCATTCCACAAACATAATCACCTATACGGTTTTCAATAACCTAATTAAAACTTGGTAGTGTAGGAAATGTCATTAGTCCTTCCCGAATGTTACACGTCTTGGCTCAGCATATTTAACTCTACTCAGTCATGTCTAACCATGCTATAGTCCGCTTGGCTCAGCATATTTAAGTCTACTCAGTCATGTCTAACCATGCTATAGTCCGCTTGGCTCAGCATATTTAAGTCTACTCAGTCATGTCTAACCATGCTATAGTCCGTTTGGCTCAGCATATTTAAGTCTACTCAGTCATGTCTAACCATGCTATAGTCCGTTTGGCTCAGCATATTTAAGTCTACTCAGTCATGTCTAACCATGCTATAGTCCGCTTGGCTCAGCATATTTAAGTCCAACTCAGTCATGTCTAACCATGCTATAGTCCGCTTGGCTCAGCATATTTAAGTCTACTCAGTCATGTCTAACCATGCTATAGTCCGTTTGGCTCAGCATATTTAAAGTCTACTCAGTCATGTCTAACCATGCTATAGTCCGCTTGGCTCAGCATATTTAAGTCTACTCAGTCATGTCTAACCATGCTATAGTCCGTTTGGCTCAGCATATTTAAGTCTGCTCGGTCATGTCTAACCATGCTATAGTCCGTTTGGCTCAGCATATTTAAGTCTACTCAGTCATGTCTAACCATGCTATAGTCCGTTTGGCTCAGCATATTTAAGTCTACTCAGTCATGTCTAACCATGCTATAGTCCGTTTGGCTCAGCATATTTAAGTCTACTCAGTCATGTCTAACCATGCTATAGTCCGCTTGGCTCAGCATATTTAAGTCTACTCAGTCATGTCTAACCATGCTATAGTCCGCTTGGCTCAGCATATTTAAGTCTACTCAGTCATGTCTAACCATGCTATAGTCCGTTTGGCTCAGCATATTTAAGTCTACTCAGTCATGTCTAACCATGCTATAGTCCGCTTGGCTCAGCATATTTAAGTCTACTCAGTCATGTCTAACCATGCTATAGTCCGTTTGGCTCAGCATATTTAAGTCTACTCAGTCATGTCTAACCATGATATAGTCCGCTTTGCTCAGCATATTTAAGTCTACTCAGTCATGTCTAACCATGCTATAGTCCATTTGGCTTAAAAGCAGACCCATGAATTGCAATCGAACTCGAAAACGAAAACATATAATACTCAATGAAACGCTGATCATAATCAAAACATTAGATCAAATCTGGGAGTTATTTGCAGAATTTATGTCCTACATATAAAAAAACTTGTTTAACAAACTATCATTAAAATGTTGACAGTTTACTATTTGTTACGAGGGAGGTGTGCAGAGAAAGGGACAGCCAGGTGTACGCGAGGCACGTACACAAGTGCCAACATAGATATTGATACATTTATCTGTGCTGTGCCGTATCCATCCTTTGACGCACACCTGGCTGTTCTTCCCTTTGCACTCCTATCCACTCACATTGAAAATAGTTATCACCCGTAATTTTATTTCTACAGTATATTTAATACCTGCATGAGATGGCTGATAGCTTCCCTCTCTGACAAAAGCTGGCTGAGATCTTTGGTTCCCAGGACATTCCTGAGTGTGTATGCTGCTAACAGTTTGGTGGAGCTGTAAACGTCACGGACATTGGTGACAGACATGATGGCGTTCTGGATGCGGTAGTAGATGACGGCGTCGACTGCCACTGTCACCGAGTCACGTGTCAACACCTTGTCAGAAACAGAGTATAAACACAACTATGCGGGCTCTCAACGACTTCAATCGTCTTCAAGGACTTTCAGAGTGGTATTCAGAGTGTGGCATTAGCATCACCATCCCCAACCCTAAACGCACCCCCATCCAGATATACTTCCTTGTTACTTTGTGAAAAACCACTATCCTGGCAGCGACACCATCCTCAACCCTAAACCCACCCCCCAACCAGATATACCTCCTTGTTACTTTGTGATAAAACCACTATCCTGGCAGCGACACCATCCTCAACCCTATACCCACCCCCAGCCAGATATACTTCCTTGTTGCTTTGTGAAAAACCACTATCCTGGCAGCGACACCATCCTCAACCCTAAACCCACCCCCAACCAGATATACTTCCTTTGTTACTTTGTGACAAAACCACTATCCTGGCGCGACACCATCCTCAACCTTAAACCCACCCCCCAGCCAGGTATACTTCCTTGTTACTTTGTGAAAAACCACTATCCTGGCAGCGACACCATCCTCAACCCTAAACCCACCCCCAACCAGATATACTTCCTTGTTACTTTGTGATAAAACCTCCATCCTGGCAGCGACACCATCCTCAACCCTAAACCCACCCCCAACCAGATATACTTCCTTGGAACTTTGTGAAAAACCACTATCCTGGCAGCGACACCATCCTCAACCCTAAACCCACCCCCAGCCAGATATCCTTCCTTGTTACTTTGTGATAAAACCTCCATCCTGGCAGCCACACCATCCTCAACCCTAAACCCACCCCCAACCAGATATACTTCCTTGTTGCTTTGTGATAAAACCCCCTTCCTTGCAGCGACACCATCCTCAACCCTAAACCCACCCCCAACCAGATATACTTCCTTGTTGCTTTGTGATAAAACCCCCTTCCTGGCAGCGACACCATCCTCAACCCTAAACCCACCCCCAACCAGATATACTTCCTTGTTACTTTGTGATAAAACCTCCATCCTGGCAGCGACACCATCCTCAACCCTAAACCCACCCCCAACCAGATATACTTCCTTGTTGCTTTGTGATAAAACCCCCTTCCTGGCAGCGACACCATCCTCAACCCTAAACCCACCCCCAACCAGATATACTTCTTTGTTGCTTTGTGATAAAACCTCCATCCTGGCAGCGACACCATCCTCAACCCTAAACCCACCCCCAGCCAGATATACTTCCTTGTTACTTTGTGAAAAACCACTATCCTGGCAGCGACACCATCCTCAACCCTAAACCCACCCCCAACCAGATATACCTCCTTGTTACTTTGTGATAAAACCACTATCCTGGCAGCGACACCATCCTCAACCCTAAACCCACCCCCAGCCAGATATACTTCCTTGTTGCTTTGTGAAAAACCACTATCCTGGCAGCGACACCATCCTCAACCCTAAACCCACCCCCAACCAGATATACTTCCTTGTTACTTTGTGACAAAACCACTATCCTGGCAGCGACACCATCCTCAACCTTAAACCCACCCCCAGCCAGGTATACTTCCTTGTTACTTTGTGAAAAACCACTATCCTGGCAGCGACACCATCCTCAACCCTAAACCCACCCCCAACCAGATATACTTCCTTGTTACTTTTAGTGACAAAACCACTATCCTGGCAGCGACACCATCCTCAACCTTAAACCCACCCCCAGCCAGGTATACTTCCTTGTTACTTTGTGAAAAACCACTATCCTGGCAGCGACACCATCCTCAACCCTAAACCCACCCCCAACCAGATATACTTCCTTGTTACTTTGTGATAAAACCTCCATCCTGGCAGCGACACCATCCTCAACCCTAAACCCACCCCCAACCAGATATACTTCCTTGGAACTTTGTGAAAAACCACTATCCTGGCAGCGACACCATCCTCAACCCTAAACCCACCCCCAGCCAGATATCCTTCCTTGTTACTTTGTGATAAAACCTCCATCCTGGCAGCCACACCATCCTCAACCCTAAACCCACCCCCAACCAGATATACTTCCTTGTTGCTTTGTGATAAAACCCCTTCCTTGCAGCTTGACACCATCCTCAACCCTAAACCCACCCCCAACCAGATATACTTCCTTGTTGCTTTGTGATAAAACCCCTTCCTGGCAGCGACACCCATCCTCAACCCTAAACCCACCCCCCAACCAGATATATTTCCTTGTTACTTTGTGATAAAACCTCCATCCTGGCAGCGACACCATCCTCAACCCTAAACCCACCCCCAACCAGATATATACTTCCTTGTTGCTTTGTGATAAAACCCCCTTCCTGGCAGCGACACCATCCTCAACCCTAAACCCACCCCCAACCAGATATACTTCTTTGTTTGCTTTGTGATAAAACCTCCATCCTGGCAGCGACACCATCCTCAACCCTAAACCAAACCCCCAGCCAGATATACTTCCTTGTTACTTTGTGAAAACCACTATCCTGGCAGCGACACCATCCTCAACCCTAAACCCACCCCAAACCAGATATACTTCCTTGTTACTTTGTGATAAAACCACTATCCTGGCAGCGACACCATCCTCAACCCTAAACCCACCCCCAGCCAGATATACTTCCTTGTTGCTTTGTGAAAAACCACTATCCTGGCAGCGACACCATCCTCAACCCTAAACCCACCCCCAACCAGATATACTTCCTTGTTACTTTGTAATAAAACCTCCATCCTGGCAGCGACACCATCCTCAACCTTAAACCCACCCCCAACCAGATATACTTCCTTGGAACTTTGTGATAAAACCTCCATCCTGGCAGCCACACCATCCTCAACCCTAAACCCAGCCCCAACCAGATATACTTCCTTGTTGCTTTGTGATAAAACCCCCTTCCTTGCAGCGACACCATCCTCAACCCTAAACCCACCCCCAACCAGATATACTTCCTTGTTGCTTTGTGATAAAACCCCCTTCCTGGCAGGGACACCATCCTCAACCCTAAACCCACCCCCAACCAGATATACTTCCTTGTTACTTTGTGATAAAACCTCCATCCTGGCAGCGACACCATCCTCAACCCTAAACCCACCCCCAACCAGATATACTTCCTTGTTGCTTTGTGATAAAACCCCTTCCTGGCAGCTTAATACACCATCCTCAACCCTAAACCCCACCCCCAACCAGATATACTTCTTTGTTGCTTTGTGATAAAACCTCCATCCTGGCAGCTTACACCATCCTCAACCCTAAACCCACCCCAACCAGATATACTTCCTTGTTGCTTTGTGATAAAACCCCTTCCTGGCAGCGACACCATCCTCAACCCTAAACCCACCCCCAACCAGATATACTTCCTTGTTACTTTGTTATAAAACCACCATCCTGGCAGCGACACCATCCTCAACCCTAAACCCACCCCCAACCAGATATACTTCCTTGTTACTTTGTGATAAAACCTCCATCCTGGCAGCGACAATTCATCCTCAACCCTAAACCCACCCCCAACCAGATATACTTCCTTGTTGCTTTGTGATAAAACCCCTTCCTGGCAGCGACACCATCCTCAACCCTAAACCCACCCCCAGCCAGATATACTTCCTTGTTACTTTGTGATAAAACCACCATCCTGGCAGCGACACCATCCTCAACCCTAAACCCACCCCCAACCAGATATACTTCCTTGTTACTTTGTGATAAAACCACCATCCTGGCAGCGACACCATCCTCAACCCTAAACCCACCCCAACCAGATATACTTCCTTGTTACTTTGTGATAAAACCCCTTCCTGGCAGCGCGACACCATCCTCAACCCTAAACCCACCCCCAGCCAGATATACTTCCTTGTTACTTTGTGATAAAACCACCATCCTGGCAGCGACACCATCCTCAACCCTAAACCCACCCCCAACCAGATATACTTCCTTGTTTCTCTGTGATAAAACCCCCTTCCTGGCAGCGACACCATCTTCAACCCTAACCCCCACCCCCACCCCACCCCCCCACCCCCAGCCAGATATACTTCCTTGTTCCTTTGTGATAAAACCCCCTTCCTAGCAGCGACACCATCCTCAACCCTAAACCCACCACACGCATGAAATATCCCCCTAAACCCAATGACACCCACCTCCTGGGGCGGCACATCAAAGATCAGGGTCCTCATGTCCACCTTGATGAAGGAGTCCAAGTATGGGTTGATGAAGAAAATGCCTGGATTGGAAATCGTTTAGTGGCCTCAATGAGACAAAAGTGTTAGGTCTGCATGAATGCACAAGGTGGGCAAATTGGCCACTGGCCTGTGAACCCTCTCTTGTGTTGTGGCTCATTTGCTTATACCAGGTGCGCTGTTCTGTTGACCATCATTTATATACTGATCTGAATATACTGGAATCTGGGCCGGATTTGCTAGTGATTGATATTATAAACAATAAACAACAAACAAAGCCTGATTTTGCTAACACATTTGGATACATTTTTGGACCAGCGCTGCCTGCTGGGAACCTATTCCTATCTGAATGCTGCACTATGGCGGCGGTTTGCTAATAATCGAGTCTGGACCAGACAATCCCGTGGTCAACAGCATGAGTGTCGATCTACGCAATTGGAATGTCATGTGTCAACCAAGTCAGCGAGTTTGACCACCTCTTACGACAAGCATGGGGTCCTGAAGACCCATACACCCGGATCTTCACGGGTGTCCAGTGGGATATGACAATGGGGAGGAAGTCAGGTGGTACTTAAACAAAGAAAAACATTGTACCTGGTTTCTTGTCTTGTCGGGACCTCAGTCGACCAAGTCGGAATATAACCACCTTCTCATAATGATTTAGCACCTGTCCCAAAGATGAAAGATTATGTCAAAAGTTACAGGCCAGAGTGCAAACTTCAAAATATCCCATGGGTTTCCAACTAGTCCTCCATTGGCTACTCCTCAGCAGTGAAGATGTTATCTGCCCATGAGTGGCCAGAGTCAAATTATACTTATTTTCTGAAAATGGAATATTGCTGAGTGCGGCATAAAACCGAACTCACTCACTCACTATTTTCTGAAAACTCCAACAAAATGATGTCAGCATCAAATACATGTACAGCCCTAACCCTGCACAGCTTGGGGTCAGGGGGAGTGGGTAGGGGGTCATTTTCTCAGCCGGCATGAAATATGAAACCCTGAATGAAACATCCCCCGTATAGTGATGCAGTGGGAAATTCAAATCTAGATTTAGAAAAAGATAATTATATTTTCAAAATGTATGTTTTGTAGACTGTTTTCATCCATACGTTTAGCTGTGAGCCTTCATAAACACACTTCTTTACATACTATGGCCTAAAATCATCCTGAACCGGTAACTCAAGATATATCATGGATTGTACTGGGATACTGCTTTGCTTTGCATCGAAATACAGCTTGGACCAGGCTATGTGCCTACACCCCATGTGTGTATAAGTTTGAACCCTACCTTTAATGGTCACAAGCACTGAAGGCTATCTACATATTTGAGAAACACACCTTACAAAGATCGCCACATCATAAATGTTGTCAGTATTTATATTCAAATAATTCTAAAAAATATTGTGATGAACTGAAAATAATCACCTGGTTTTTTTTAATCCTCTTATCAATTATATTTATCTGATGTAACTTGTCAAAATCTCAGGAGAAATGAAGGTCAATGTAACAACAATACCAGTGGTTAGACCAGTGACTGTAAGGATTTTGATAAAACATTGTTGTAAAAAAACCATGGGACATATGTGTAATATACAACAAACTTTATGGATAACAACTTCTTTTTATTCGTGAGTGCGACGTTTTCGATACAGACTCTTGTACCGTTGTCAAGCATTAATGGAACATGAAGAAGGGGGAAGTATATATATACTGAATGTAACAATGTAACAAAGAAAACCACATAATTAACATAATTGGCAAAGCAGTAAGCTGATGAAGCCAGAGAGTAGACAAAGGACAGGCGTGGAAGCCAACGATGTACAAATAATAATGAGATGTTTATACAGCAGAGTTTATACAGTAGATTGGGCTTGGTGGAAGAGTGCATCATATTGTACTTCCCAACTTCTAAAATGCCACTCAAAGCAGACATATGTGTGCTGAGAACCAATTCTGCGAGATCTACCGGAACTACCAAGTCCCAGAATACAGTGGATGGCTGACACACGCTCACTCACTGTATGCTGCTGTGGAGAAAATGGGTCGCTTTAAAGGTGAGTGTTGTTTTATGCCGCTTTTAGCAATATTCCACAAATATCAGGGCAGGGGACACCAGAAATGGGCTCAGTACATTGTACCCATGTGCGGAATCGACTCCAGGTCTTCAGCATGAACGCTTTAACCATTAGGCTACCCCAGCGCCCCCCCATAACAAGGAAGTTCAAAGATGAATAATGTCATCGGGGAGATCAGATCTGATAAACGAGTCATCAAGGGGTGAGTAGCGATGGCATGAATAGTCTGCAGCCAATACATTATGATGCAAATACGAAATGTTTGGAGAATATAAATATGTCTTCATGAATAATTTATATTAAATATCAAGAAATTAGAATAATAAATATGTCATGCCATTGCTCAAACTGAAAAATTTAAATAATATTTTCTATAAAGCCAAAAAAGAAATAGATACATTGCGAACAATGCTGCTTGTAGTCTAATGCAGTTCTGTCGGGGGCCTTAGTCAAATACCACAAGCTGTTGATGGCTTGGGCATATTCCTTTTTGTATATCTCACTTATATAAACAACAAACTTTCAATAAAAGTTCCTGAACTATTTATACTAAAAAAGAAATGGTGAAAATAAGATTGGTTGACAATGCAGTATGTTCTTTTTGTAATGATATCGTAATTTATGCCACGTTTATTGGGATAGCAATGGAACCAAAACCTTTTGGAATGACCTTGAAAATTGGATTATTCCTTGTTTGGTTTGGTAGTTTAGATAAGGACCCACTATTAAATCATATAATCCTCTCTGCTAAAAGTTAGATATACATTTGCACTTTGAATAAAATGTATCCAAAATTGATCAATTTCTTAAAGTTTTTAATAGTTGAAAAAATTATTTCCAAAAAGAAAAAATGATTTTGATAAATTTAAAAACGAAATGGTCTCCATTTACCCAGTATTTGAACCTGATGACTTCTGTTAACTTTTGATATTTTACCGGTATTTATTGGAGAACCTGGTTGTATCAGCAAATTACACCTGCTTACATATTTCTATATGCATCATGTATACTTGATTTGGGAACCCTAAAAACAAAACAAAAACCAAACCAAACCAAAAAATAAAATAAACAAAAAAACAAAAAAAATAGTTCCAAGCATAAAACACTCTTAAAACTAGTCGTAAAAGATTTCATTCAGGGACCCAAACCGCAAAACATTCATAGCACTTCAATAGGTCTTTTGGGTCGAGCCCTGACCCCATTAAAGGATGTGCTAACTGGACATGTCCACACCCTTGAAAGCACTGATCTTACCTTAGTGCACAGACAGAGGGAGAATGGAATGGTTGCTAGCATACAGATGATTGATACCAAGTACAAGATGTAACCACAGCAACCAATACTGCCTCCATCCTGGGATGCATGGAAACCTGCTATAGAACATATAGAAAACAATATGTAGTGGAGCAGCAAGGGTCACCTATTGTCTTAGTGTGAGTGAGTGAGTGAGTGAGTGAGAGAGAGAGTGTGTGTTGCGTGCATGCGTGCGTGAGTGCGGCCCAATCAGGATAATCAAATTTTCTGTTGTGGCAAAATTTGATACCCTGTTATTACTGTTGTAAGTACATTTCTTTACATCATATACTGGCTTTACTTGTGACAAAGCTGTGGAAGATTAACACTATCAGTTGTAAGTACATTTCTATACATCATATACTGGGTTTACTTGTGACAAAGCTGTGGAAGATAAACACTATCAGTTGTAAGTACATTTCTTTACATCATATACTTGGTTTACTTGTGACAAAGCTGTGGAAGATTAACACTATCAGTTGTAAGTACATTTCTTGACATCATATACTGGGTTTACTTGTGACAAAGCTGTGGAAGATAAACACTATCAGTTGTAAGGTTTCTTTACATCATATACTGGTTTACTTGTGACAAAGCTGTGGAAGATTCAGTTGTAAGTACATTTCTACATCATATACTGGTTTACTTGTGACAAAGCTGTGGAAGATTAACACTATCAGTGTACATTTCTTTACATCATATACTGGGTTTACTTGTGACAAAGCTGTGGAAGATTAACACTATCAGTTGTAAGTACATTTCTATACATCATATACTGGGTTTACTTGTGACAAAGCTGTGGAAGATAAACACTATCAGTTGTAAGTACATTTCTTTACATCATATACTGGGTTTACTTGTGACAAAGCTGTGGAAGATTAACACTATCAGTTGTAAGTACATTTCTTTACATCATATACTGGGTTTACTTGTGACAAAGCTGTGGAAGATTAACACTATCAGTTGTAAGTACATTTCTATACATCATATACTGGGTTTACTTGGCTGAGACAAAGCTGTGGAAGATTAACACTATCAGTTGTAAGTACATTTCTATACATCATATACTGGGTTTACTTGTGACAAAGCTGTGGAAGATAAACACTATCAGTTGTAAGTACATTTCTTTACATCATATACTGGGTTTACTCGTGACAAAGCTGAGGACGATTAACACTATCAGCTGTAAGTACATTTCTATACATCATATACTGGGTTTACTTGTGACAAAGCTGTGGAAGATTAACACTATCAGTTGTAAGTACATTTCTTTACATCATATACTGGGTTTACTTGTGACAAAGCTGTGGAAGATTAACACTATCAGTTGTAAGTACATTTCTATAGTACATCATATACTGGGTTTACTTGTGACAAAGCTGTGGAAGATAAACACTATCAGTTGTAGAGTACATTTCTTTACATCATATGGGTTTACTTGTGACAAAGCTGTGGAAGATTAACACTATCAGTTGTAAGTACATTTCTATACATCATATACTGGGTTTACTTGTGACAAAGCTGTGGAAGATAAACACTATCAGTTGTAAGTACATTTCTATACATCATATACTGGGTTTACTTGTGACAAAGCTGTGGAAGATTAACACTATCAGTTGTAAGTACATTTCTATACATCATATACTGGGTTTACTTGTGACAAAGCTGTGGAAGATAAACACTATCAGTTGTAAGTACATTTCTTTACATCATATACTTGGTTTACTTGTGACAAAGCTGTGGAAGATTAACACTATCAGTTGTAAGTACATTTCTTTACATCATATACTGGGTTTACTTGTGACAAAGCTGTGGAAGATAAACACTATCAGTTGTAAGTACATTTCTTTACATCATATACTGGGTTTACTTGTGACAAAGCTGTGGAAGATTAACACTATCAGTTGTAAGTACATTTCTATACATCATATACTGTGGTTTACTTGTAATACAAAGCTGTGGAAGATAAACACTATCAGTTGTAAGTACATTTCATTACATCATATACTGGAGTTTACTTGTGACATCTGTGGAAGATAACACTATCAGTTGTAAGTACATTTCTGACATATACTATCAGCTTACTCATGACAAAGCTGTGGAAGATTAACACTATCAGTTGTAAGTACATTTCTATACATCATATACTGGGTTTACTTGTGACAAAGCTGTGGAAGATAAACACTATCAGTTGTAAGTACATTTCTATACATCATATACTAGTTGTCACTTGGCTGTGGAAGATACACTATCAGTTGTAAGTACATTTCTATACATCATATACTGGGTTTTACTCGTGACAAAGCTGTGGAAGATTAACACTATCAGCTGTAAGTACATTTCTATACATCATATACTGGGTTTACTTTTGCACTGACAAAGCTGTGGAAGATAAACACTATCAGTTGTAAGTACATTTCTTTACATCATATACTTGGTTTACTTGTGACAAAGCTGTGGAAGATTAACACTATCAGTTGTAAGTACATTTCTTTACATCATATACTGGGTTTACTCATGTGACAAAGCTGTGGAAGATAAACACTATCAGTTGTAAGTACATTTTCTATACATCATATACTGGGTTTTACTTGTGACAAAGCTGTGGAAGATTAACACTATCAGTTGTAAGCCATTTCACTTGTGACATCATATACTGTGTTTACTCGTGACAAAGCTGTGGAAGATTAACACTATCAGTTGTAAGTACATTTCTTTACATCATATACTGGGTTTACTTGTAAGTACATTTCTTTACATCATATACTGACAAAGCTGTGGAAGATAAACACTATCAGTTGTAAGTACATTTCTTTACATCATATACTGGGTTTACTCGTGACAAAGCTGTGGAAAGATTAACACTATCAGTTGTAAGTACATTTCTATACATCATATACTGGGTTTACTTGTGACAAAGATGTGGAAGATTAACACTATCAGTTGTAAGTACATTTCTTTACATCATATACTGGGTTTACTTGTGACAAAGCTGTGGAAGATTAACACTATCAGTTGTAAGTACATTTCTATACATCATATACTGGGTTTACTTGTGACAAAGCTGTGGAAGATTAACACTATCAGTTGTAAATTACATTTCTATACATCATATACTGGGTTTACTTACATCAAGATACTATTTACCAAAGTACATTTCTTACATCATATACTGGGTTTACTTGTGACAAAGCTGTGGAAGATTAACACTATCAGTTGTAAGTACATTTCTATACATCATATACTGGGTTTACTTGTGACAAAGCTGTGGAAGATAAACACTATCAGTTGTAAGTACATTTCTTTACATCATATACTGGGTTTACTTGTGACAAAGCTGTGGAAGATTAACACTATCAGTTGTAAAATACATTTCTATACATCATATACTGGGTTTACTTGTGACAAAGCTGTGGAAGATAAACACTATCAGTTGTAAGTACATTTCTATACATCATATACTGGGTTTACTTGTGACAAAGATGTGGAAGATTAACACTATCAGCTGTAAGTACATTTCTTTACATCATATACTGGGTTTACTTGTGACAAAGCTGTGGAAGATAAAACACTATCAGTTGTAAGTACATTTCTATACATCATATACTGGGTTTACTCGTGACAAAGCTGTGGAGATAAGATTAACACTATCAGCTGTAAGTACATTTCTATACATCATATACTGGGGTTTACTTTAGACAAAGCTGTGGAAGATTAACACTATCAGTTGTAAAAGCACATTTCTTTACATCATATACTGGGTTTACTTGTGACAAAGCTGTGGAAGATTAACACTATCAGTTGTAAGTACATTTCTTATGCATCATATACTGTGGCTTTACTTAAGTGACAAAGCTTGTGGAAGATTAACACTATCAGTTGTAAGTACATTTCTTTACATCATACATGGTTTACTACTGACAAAAGCTGTGGAAGATTAACACTATCAGTTGTAAGTACATTTCTTTTTTACATCATATACTGGCTTTACTTGTGACAAAGCTGTGGAAGATTAACACTATCAGTTGTAAGTACATTTCTGTACATCATATACTGGCCAGTTTACTCCAGCAACAAAGCTGTGGAAGATAAACACCATCAGTTGTAAGTACATTTCTTTACATCATATACTGGGTTTTACTTGGTGACAAAGCTGGACACTATCAGTTGTAAGTACATTTCTTTACATCATATACTGGGTTTACTTGCATGACAAAGCTGTGGAAGATTAACACTATCAGTTGTAAAGTACATTTCTATACATCATATACTGGGTTTACATTTGTGACAAAGCTGTGGAAGATTAACACTATCAGTTGTAAGTACATTTCTAATCATATACTGGGTATACTCACAAAGCTGTGGAAGATAAACACTACTGTTGTAAAGTACATTTCTTTACATCATATACTGGGTTTACTTGTAGACAAAGCTGTGGAAGATTAACACTATCAGTTGTAAAGTACATTTCTATACATCATATACTGGGTTTACTGCAAAGCTGTGGAAGATTAACACTATCAGTTGTAAGTACATTTCTATACATCATATACTGGGTTTACTTGTGACAAAGCTGTGGAAGATAAACACTATCAGTTGTAAGTACATTTCTTTACATCATATACTGGGTTTTACTTGTTGACAAAGCTGTGGAAGATTAACACTATCAGTTGTAAGTACATTTCTTTTAGATCATATACTAGGTTTACTTGTGACAAAGTTGTGGAAGATTAACACTATCAGTTGTAAAGTACATTTCTTTACATCATATACTGGGTTTACTTTGTGACAAAGCTGTGGAAGATTAACACTATCAGTTGTAAGTACATTTCTTTACATCATATACTGGGTTTACTTGTGACAAAGCTGTGGAAGATTAACACTATCAGTTGTAAGTACATTTCTTTGCATCATATACTGGGTTTTACTTGTGACAAAGCTGTGGAAGATAAACACTATCAGTTGTAAGTACATTTCTATACATCATATACTGGGTTTTACCATCACTAACGTGGCCACATTGCATTTCTAAGCTGTGGACAAAGCTGTGGACGAAACACTATCAGTTGTAAGCACA